AGAACAGATTTTTTAGTTAATTTAACAAGTGTCTGTTTGAAAGGCCTTTATGGGAAGAACATCATGGTCATACTGGTTTAATTTAGTAATAAAATAAAACGGGACGAAAGGTGATGTCACAAAGTGCATTGCCCTGCAGAGGTATGAATACCTTGTAAAATCAATAAAAGATCCTACTGTATGTTACAGCCCCTATGTTTTATTGTGCTTTCTGTGACAGATCTGCATAAAGTAGGGAAGCAGAAGCAAAGGCATACTGAGTTATTTTCCCTACAGTCTGACAGCTTTAAATATCCAGTTCAGTTTTTTAGCTTTGTTAACGGCTAAGTTAAAAACTGTCTCCTTCTGTTTGTTTATATTGTGTGTAATTTTATTAAACCCAACCTCTAAAAATACAATAAAGTTTGCAGCAGTAATGTGACAAGATGTGAGGAAGTTGATGGTGCATATCTTTACAAGACACTTTCTAATGTACATAAATGTATTTTTGTACAGTTGCCCTATGTGTACTTTATAAGAGTTTTGAAAGTGTGGCTTTATCCTGTCATTCCTTATATCTAATACTCCCTTATTAGAGGACTTTCTATACATTAACACCCTCAGTTGTTTAACATAAAATTGCGTTTTGTTTTTTTTCTGCTTAAAAAAATCTGAACATGATGATGACATTAAATGGTGCTTGAGAATACTTAAATGCTCCATTTTACATGCGGAGAAAAGAGCAGTGTGTTTTGGTGCTCCACTGAGCTGGATGAGACATCACTCACCATGGCCAGAGGCACAATGCCTGCCAGTTCCTCCTGTGCCAGGAGGATCTCTGTCTCGACCTCTTGTGTGGTGGCACGAATGGCCGGGTACTCCACTTGCCAGGCCATCCAACGGCTGCCTGTCGGCTCTGGGAAGCTCTCCATTTTCAGATCAACCTGGAGCACCCTCTGAGCTCCCATCTCAGATCTGTAACACAGACAGAAAAAAAAAAAAAAGATATCAATGAAGGGTAAAACATAGGTTGGTGTGAAAAAATGACAGTGCTAGGTATCCATACCCTCCACATCTTTTCACAAAGCTTCATATATGTAGAAACTCCTATGATTTATGGTTCTTTTAGCTTTTGACTCGAACTTTCTAAATTTGACGTATTATTAAGTCTTGCTTCATTTTGTTTATTTAACAGGGATCATTATTCATTTTTAATTTTTATAATTAGATTTTTATTTTTTTTTTACTTCTTGGTTCAGTTTTATGTTTCCTATTCGTTATAAGTTATTTTTGTTCATCATTTCCAGTTTCCATGCCACCGTTCCTCATGGTAATTAGCTTCATTGCAGTGGCGGCTTCTGCTCTCTGAAACAAGGGAGGCTCAACGGTGATGATTAAATCCAAACGTCATGTATTGAATTGACAAATGTTAAAACACATAAAATATATCACTATAACGGGTGAAAGTAGCTGTTGGGAAGCGCTCTGAAATAATAAATTCCAGAAACCAAAGCAAGAGTTCAGCACAAGGTGTCTGTTCTCATGAGGAAAACCTCTTCACTGTCTGGCTGCTGTCAGTCTTTCTTTGCAAGCAGCATCGAGCAGCCAGCTTCATGACCCCCCTCCTCCTTAGAAGTTTAGCCTCACTGGAAGTAATGTATTGACGTAACCAATCAGGGCTCTACTTTCTCACCTCAACAGGTCGAGGCTTAGGCTCAACAGGGATTTCACATAGAGGCTGACAGGAAGCGTCCTGCTGCTCCAAAGTGGAGGGACGATCACATAAAAGAGTGCATTTTAGCGCATATTTAATGCAGTTTAATGATTACATTTACGAAGCTTGACAATTCATATTTTACTTAATGCATAATTTTATAGCTTTCTATGCCAGTGCCTGATTTACCTCATGCCTACCTGACTCCTCATTTGCAGAGACTCTGCTCTGTTATTATCTCCATTACAAATGGAAACCATTCTAGTCAATACAGTAATTCCCACCTGCGGATAGCTCTCCCTGACGTTGGTCAGAAATCTGGATGAAATCTACCTTTGACAGATGAGCCGCTGGCTGTCAGACAGCAGAATGGTTAAAGTGGATCTGGTACATTACAGAACTTGAGCAGGCAAGGTTGCTCCTTCTCTATTCATTTCCTATGGAACTTGTCAAAGAGGGATCGATTGCTTACCTTCCTCCAGCCAAGCCAAAGGCAAAACTCGTGCATCTACAATTTGAGCTGAAATATGTGGGCCTTCACATGCCATGGTATTATGTGACCAAAGAAACTTACAAAATGTTACATTTTTGTAGCTCTTGCTCATCCCAAAACAAATCAGTGAGGTTAGATGTGGGGAGTGGCAGCCTAGTGGTTAGGGCATACTGTAGGGCCTGGAGTCCTGAGTTTCTGCGTTTGACCCCACTGACACAGACTGCAACTCTGGGTCTCTGAGAAAGACCCTTAACCCCACACTGTTCCCCACGTCGCAAAATGGCAGCCCACTGCTCCCCAAGGGTATGGTTTAAATACAGTGGTAAGTTTTTTCAATAAAGTTCAATTATTATTATTAGAGGTGAGGTCGACATACACTACAGACTGCAACTTTCCTATATCACATGATTTCAATCAATTCTACTCAGGTCTTCTGACACTTCATCCTTGAAAATGTCAAAAAACTTTCCTATTTCATAACTAATTCTATTTCTTGGAGACAAGTCACATAAGAGCGATTATTTACAACTGCCCTGTGTTGAGTTTCGGGACGTTGGCAAAGAGAGCCATCTGTCGCTGTTGTTTGTAGCTTGTCAAGCAGATACTGTAGGGGAGGCTGCCTGATGCGTGATTGCATCCTACAAACCTTTTGTGTGAATTTTTGCAACAAATCACAGAGTGAACATGATTTTACTATTCTTCTCCTCCAAATCCTGGTGCTTCTCCTTTTGCCTGTATTAATTTGGGTCCAACTTCAAGAGTCAATAAGTTGCAAAACTATTCAAATTCTGTCACAATGTATAAGGGTGTCTGTGAACCAGGAACTCTTAAGCCCTGGCAGAGAATCTCCAACGGATTTAGTTATCTACATGGACTAGGCCATAACAGCAATGAGCATGCTATGATGTAAACCATTTCATAGTTCCACTGGCTGTATATTTAGTGTTGTTGGCAGACTAGTGTATCTCAAGCCTAGTCTCACATCATTTTTGGCATAGTTTCTTTTCAAGTAGTAATTCATTATTAACCTCTATTCTGTTTGTCTTTTATTGTATTCTAAGCAGCTTCATTGTTCCTGCAGACAACTATCCCCAAAAGCACGATGCTACCACCACCATCTGTCTCAGTGGAGATATTGTTTGATTCTTAGTGGATAAGATAAATATAATTGAACTTTATTAATCTCCCACTGGAAAAATTCACCTCTGCTTTTGACCCTTCCCCTTGGGGAGCAGTGGGCTGCCACTGTGCGGCACTCGGGTAGCAGTGTAGGGTTAAGGGTATTGCTCAGAGACCCAGAGTGCAGGCTGTGGGGATTAAACCGGGTACTTGCAACCTTCATAGAGCAGATGCACACTGCTCTAACCACTAGATCAACACTTCCCCATGCATAAAATTACTAATATTACTAGCATACAGTAGTATTTCTTATGCATTGCAAATTTTTTAATTTAGTATCCTCTAATCAGACCACCTCCTTCCTCATTTTTTATGTCCTCCGTATGCTTATGGGTACTAAGTAAATTCTTCCAAATAGTGGATCTCAGCAGCATATCTAATGTAGGACTGCTTTGCTTAATTGTTTCTTTAATGGTGTCCTTTTACAGATTTCAGTTTCTCTTTATTCTCTGATGATGGGTGGCTTTTGATGCCAATTATTTAGAGTCTTTAGAACCATATTGGTTGAATGGGTAACCAAGCCACACTATTAAGATTTATTATTTCTATAAAAGATAATAAAAAAACAAATCAGTTTCCTTCCTTGCTTCACAGGTAGCACTAGTTTGCAATAGGCTGTATCATCAAATCTCTGTGAAACATATTTTAGATTGTGGATGCATTGTAATCAAATGTAAAAAAAGGGAAATTGGTTTACATGCTTTCTTAAATGCACCCTTAAATGTTCTATGAACTCCTCATTCTTGTCTGATCTAATGATGATCAATCCAAAAAAAAAAAAAATACAGTTCATATCAGCAACATTTCAACCTGATCAATAACCTTTTTTATATCTATTTTATGTCAGGTCTTAGGAGCTGCAAAAATAAGTTGCAGTTTAACGTCTTGGGTCTTTCCTCAGGACAGTTTAAAGAAACGTTTCACTACACATCACCCCCTACTAAGGTGTTGACGGGTAGGTTTGTCACCGGCGCCCTTGTTTGCTCTAGAGGACCGTAAAAATGCAGCACGATTCTGCACGATCCACAGCAGCTCTGAATTAAGCCAGACAAATGGAGGACATTGCTAATAAAAATTTCCCATGGCGCCATAAGTCTCCAGTTCTCACAGTTTAAATATACACCCGGAGGCAGGAAAAGGTCAGCATTAGACAGGAGCTGGAGGGGATGTGAAATGGCAAGAGATCTTTTAGCTGCATCTTGTGTGTCAAATGGCAGGAACTCCTTGCCAATAAATTTCACACAGACTCTCTGTGTTACACTGGTGTAAAAGGCTGCCACGTAATTTGGTGAGAAGAAACAGACAGAAAGAGAGGAGCAATAAGCACACCAATTTGTTTTGAGAAAAGGATCTTTGTGCATATGCAAAAATTGCAAATCTCCAGACATTATTATAAAACCTTTAAAGGCAAAACAAAAATCAAAAAGATAAGATTATACAGTATATACAGTGGGTGAAACCTCTTAAAACAATACAGTTGTTTGAAAAGACAACGCAGACAAATGTATAACATCATGAAATATACAAAGGGTCCTTAAAACAGTAAAATGATAAATAATAGAAATACACGGCTTTCTAAATCTGCTGCTTTCATATTCACATAGGACACTCTCTTAACACTCACTTTTACACTGAGAGAATGGAGGATTTATTGCATAGCAGAGCACAACAACCCAATTTTCACATCCAAAAGAGGTGTATATAAATAATTAAGGTGACAACTAAATAACTTGTGTCACATTTCATAACGCTGCACCAATCAGCGTGGTGAGAGTGCAAGCATCGACTTACATAACTGTCCCCCAATGCTGTAGACAGAAGACAGATGTTAATCTCTGTTTGTAGACCAAAGACGCAATAAAGTTTGTCTCACATAAGAAAACTAATTTTACATTTTTCTTTTTAAAAAGTCACAGTGAACATATGATACACTAAAGATCCAGAAATAAACCACTGAGTATGTGATAGACATGAAGTGTCACAGAAAACCACTGTCAGTCATTAGCACAAATGGCCTACTTTCCTCAGAACAGGGAGATTTCTACTTCTAGCAGATTGCTTTCACAAAAAAAAAAAGAATAAAAATCATCACACTTGACAAGGAGTAATAATATGGCTGCAGTTCATAAAGTCTTGTCTAAAGTGTATTTGCAAAACAGTGTTTATATCCCTTTAGCATTTCTATTTCAAATGTAAGATTTTGAAAGATACTAAATAATTCTGAAGTGAGAAATGACAGTAAATCAAATGTGTTATTCAACTTTTTTTATTTACAAATGCAACAGCAAAGTTGCAATCTCTTTTTACATTTATATTCTTGCAGTCATATTTTCTACTTTAAAATCCATGAAGTCTTATGTTAAGACTGGGACTTGGTGTCATATATCCACCCTTGCTCCCAATTTTTAAAGGATTTTTATTCTGTTTTTAAATTTTTTTTCAAATTTCCTTCATAATTCAGTGTTAAATATGGACAAGGTCATTATAGTAAAGGATTCTAATATTAATCATGACATTGAAGCTGCGATGGACCGGCGACCTGTACAGGGTGTACCCTGGCTCTCGCTGTAGACAGGTGGAGATAGGCAC